ATATAAACAAATTGATTTCATTCTATTGTTTCAATAATAGTATATAAACAAATTGATTTCATTGAATTGTTTCAATAATAGTATATAAACAAATTGATTTCATTCTATTGTTTCAATAATAGTATATAAACAAATTGATTTCATTGAATTGTTTCGATAATAGTATATAAACATATTGATTCTCAATTCTGCTGTTTCAACAATTGTATATAGAACAAATTGATTCTTGTTTCTACTGTGACAACAATAGTATATCGAACGATTTGGATTTCTGTCATTTTGGCCAATAGCCTCACCGACGAGTCCTAGAAGGACGCGACAGCTGTTTGGGGTAGTGTTATTCAATTTTTATTGGTGTATTTCTTAGTTCCCGAGGTTTGACGTAATCTTAATAGCCACAATGATATGTTTGTAGTGATGCCGTTGGAAGCACGGTTCCACTACAAACAGACCACATTACATCTCCAGCACACACGCAAGCATACACACATAAAGATATGAGCCAGGTCGCATAGGACTAGTAGTTAGTGCCTGATAAGGCAGCTCCTGCGACTTCCTCAAAATTGTATTGATTAATGTATATGCTAATTGTATATCTATGTACTGTAAAGCGCTTTAGAGGAGCTTATATTAGCTAGATAGGGTGTTTTATCAAATGCAGTATATCATTATATTGTTATTAGTTATACGGTTCATAATATCATCACTTTATTCATAATTAATTTGAAATTAACCTGTAATCTATTTTTTAAATGCTATCATTAAAGTTCGAGAAGTAAAACGTCGGGGTGCAATCAGTCACCATTACGTGTGTTGTAGGATAAAGTACTTATACAATATACGTGTACTTTGTAGCGACAATATCTGTTGACTCCAAAATGTCCCGGTTTTCCCGCGACTATCAATCGAAATCTGCCAATACTCTGTACGTCGGCTTAATAACCGAATGATGCTGGTTTTATCACCCACTTCCATTTTGATTTCTGACAGATAAACCTTTAAATTGTTGTTGTCGGAGGGACGCAAAACACGACAGTTTGTGGAAGAACATAAATCGGCGATGAACGAACGATACGGCATCGACTATCGTAATTATCCACGACTGTTGCTATAATACGAAACTTATAACCACTAACAACAGACAGGGCTAATTCGGGGCAATCCGCGCGGCAATCCGCGTGATCGTAAAAAACGTTAGGTAAATCTATGAGTAGCTACGTATACCCAGTCAACACATTTGTGGTGAAACATTAAGTGGGGCCGGCGAAGCGACGGCCAAGAATTCCCCGGGGTGACGCACTGTAGGTGGAACCACAACCAATATGTTGTTTAGACGATGTCGTGTTATTCGTTTTGTCTCTAAAGAATCCAAAGGTCAATTAGATTTACATTTCAATCAAACATCTACATAACTCAGGCGTAAAAGCATGACAGGCCCATCCGGTACAAAAAGGACGCGTCGTTGTTGGTTCTCGACTGAGCCAAACAAAATGATCAAACATCTGTCACGACGTATTTCTTCTCCTTTCACAAGTGAGAGGCATATTGATAGTATATGTCGTTACAATTGTCTGCAATACATATACAACCTCCAGTCATTGTCACTTTAATCTGCAATCAATAATGATGAGTGGAGGCGCGTTGACCCAGTTCTGTATCAATTAAGTCAACATCCACGTTGCATGACGAGTTCTACCTCGTGAAATTCCAGGAACAATTAACCTATTTAATCAAGAAAATTTACGCGTGATGGAATTGAATTATCTGTCGTTAGATATTGCGTAAAGAAAATACTGTACAAGTGTCGATATGTTCCTGGTTTTTTTTATAGCAGTTTGCATGTGCAGAATTATAACAAACGGCGTGTATTTAATATCTTGGAACAATCGGCGTATACGTATCAACCTCTGCATGACGAGTGATTAATAGAAGTTGGACAAAAGTTGTTTCATAATTTTGTAAAATTGTGTAAAAAAAATATTTTCTTATTCTTTTGCGGTGTTGTTCTTGCGGGGGATTTGTCATTCCGGTCGATCAAATTGCTGGTATTATTTGCTTGGTACACAAATTAACACATCATACATAAGAGTAACGTGCATCGACAATGCCCGAGTTTTCACCCTTTCTGTACTCGCTATTGATCCGAATCCTTACAATAATGGAGGATATTCATCTTCGGCCCCAAAGCCAAGCTATCGTACTGTAGAGTGTATATTTAGGTGTTTTCTTACCGTGATGGGTATTGTAGACAACGACGCGATGTCTACGTTTGGGTGAAATAGTTCAGGTGGTGAAAATGTGGAATGTACCGCGTGTACTCCATGTGTGATTGTTCAAAAAAATCTTTATTTTGATATTGACTAAAAATTGCTGAAATGGCCCAATGCTCTCAAATTCCTGGATATTCCCGACAGCTGATAAGCTGAAATTACCTCCAGATTTTTTTCCTAAATTCTACTAACAAACGCGATATCAGCCTTGGTAAATACTAGTTACAGCCGCGATATCGGCCTAGGTAAATTTTAGTTACAACCCTGATATCAGCCTAGATAAATTCTACTTACAGTCGCGATAGATACAATATCAGCATATAGGTTAATTTCAGTTACAGCCGCGATATTCGCCTAGGTAAATTCTAGTTACAGCCGCGATATCCGCCTCGATAAATACTAGTTACAACCACGATATCACCCTAAATAAAGACTAGTTACAACCACGATATCAGCCTAGATAAATACTAGTTACAACCACGATATCAGCCTAGATAAATACTAGTTACAGACACGATATCATCCTAGATAAATACTAGTTACAACCACGATATCAGCCTATATAAATACTAGTTACAACCACGATATCAGCCTAGATAAATACTAGTTACAGACACGATATCATCCTAGATAAATACTAGTTACAACCACGAAATCAGCTTAGATAAATACTAGTTACAACCACGATATCAGTCTGGATAAATACTAGTTACAACCACGATATTATTCTGGATAAATACTAGTTACAACCAAGATATCATCTTTGATAAATATTAGTTACAACCACGATATCAGCCTAGATAAATATTAGTTACAACCAAGATATCACCCTTGATAAATACTAGTTACAACCACGATATCAGCCTAGATAAATACTAGTGACAGCCATGCTATGAGCCTAGATAAATTCTAGTTGCAGATACGATATCAGCATATAGGTTCATTTTAGTTACAGCCGCGATATCAGCCTAGGTTAAACTTACTTACAGCCCTGGTATCAGCCTAGGTAAATTTTAGTTACAGCTGCGATATCAGCCAAGGTAAATTCTACTTGCAGCCCGTTGTCAGCCTAGATTAATTCTAGTTACAGCCGCGATATCAGCCGAGGTTAAATTTACTTACAGCCCTGGTATCAGCCTAGGTAAATTTTAGTTACAGCTGCGATATCAGCCAAGGAAAATTCTACTTACAGCCCGTTGTCAGCCTAGATTAATTCTAGTTACAGCCGCGATATCAGCCTAGGTTAAACTTACTTACAGCCCTGGTATCAGCCTAGGTAAATTTTAGTTACAGCTGCGATATCAGCCAAGGAAAATTCTACTTACAGCCCGTTGTCAGCCTAGATTAATTCTAGTTACAGCCGCGATATCAGCCTAGGTTAAATTTACTTACAGCCCTGGTATCAGCCTAGGTAAATTTTAGTTACAGCTGCGATATCAGCCAAGGTAAATTCTACTTACAGCCCGTTGTCAGCCTAGATTAATTCTAGTTACAGCCGCGATATCAGCCTAGGTTAAATTTACTTACAGCCCTGGTATCAGCCTAGGTAAATTCTACTTACAGCCGCGATATTAGCCTAAATAAATTCTACTTACAGCCACGATATAAGCCTTGGTTCTGGTCACAGGTGCAATTTCAGCCAGTTATTTTCAGTTACCAGTGCATTACCAGCTAGCCATGTTATGGAGGCAGACGCAGTATCAGCTAGCTAAGTTTTAGGGAGAAGCAGAATATCAGCTAGCTAGGTTTTAGCTACCATGCCTGGTATCAGCTAGCTAGGTTCTGGTCACAGGCGTGATATCAGCGATCTAGGTTCTAGTCACAGGCGTGATATCAGCGTTCTAGATTCTAGTCACAGGTGTGATATCAGCGATCTAGATTCTAGTCACATGCATGATATCAGCTAGCTAAGTTTTAGGGAGAAGCAGAATATCAGCTAGCTAGGTTTTAGCTACCAGGCCTGGTATCAGCTAGCTAGGTTCTGGCCACAGACGTGATATCGGCGATCTAGATTCTAGTCACAGACGTGATATCAGCGATCAAGATTCTAGTCACAGGTATGATATCAGCGATCTAGATTCTATTCACATGCGTGATATCAGCTAGCTAAGTTTTAGGGAGAAGCAGAATATCAGATAACTAGGTTTTAGCTACCAGGCCTGGTATCAGCTAGCTAGGTTCTGGTCACAAGCATGATATCAGCGATCTAGATTCTAGTCACAGGCGTGATATCAGCGATCTAAATCTAGTCACAGGCATAATATCAGCAATGTAGATTCTAGTCACTGGCATGATATCAGCGATCTAGATTCTAGTCACAGGCATGATATCAGCGATCTAGATTCTAGACACAGGCGTAATATCGGCGATCTAGATTCTAGTCACAGGCATGATATCGGCGATCTAGATTCTTGTCACAGGCGTGATATCAGCGATCTAGATTCTGGTCACAGGCGTGATATCAGCGATCTAGATTCTGGTCACAGGCGTGATATCAGCGATCTAGATTCTAGTCACAGGCGTGATATCAGCTAGCTAGGTTCTGGTCACAGGCGTGATATCGGCGATCTAGATTCTAGTCACAGGCACAATATCAGCGATCTAGATTCTAGTCACAGGCACAATATCAGCGATCTAGATTCTAGTCACAGACACAATATCAGCTAGCTTGGTTTTAGTTACTGGGGAAATAAAAGTTTTTTTGAATTTTTACAAAATAATCAAAACAAATAAGATTAACTGCATGTTTATTCACGATTATCACAATTAAATGAGCAAGCTTTATTAGCTTATGAAACAATCATGGGTCTCTTTTAAAAATTAACGAATGAATTCACAATACAACCTGGTCCATCAATTGTGTACATATGGGAAAAAAGTTATCAATTTCCAAAGCGAAGACAGTATTTACAAAGGATGATTCAGATAAATAAATGTAAACATCAGATGTTTATTCTTTTATGTTTATTCGATGACAACATACATTGTTATTACTCTCAAAACCAAAGTGTCATGTTTTTAATTGTGGTGGCAGCGAAAAATCACTTTTGAAAATAAAGTTTTGGCAAAGAAATTGTTGAAAAATCAGATGCTAATTAGCATTGCCAGAGAAATATTCCACAAATAGCATCACAGAAGCACTTGTAACAGCACTTTTTCCGTAAGATATAACGATAGCACTTATGTTATTCAAGTAATATAACGATAGCACTTATTCCGTAAGATAACATCTCTTTAATTAAAGAAGACAACATTGGTAAAAGCGTAGCTTAAATAAAGACAAAGACCAATGACAGTGTAATTGTCTCCACGTACAGATGATTTGTTCAAGGCCAAGAACTGTTGATTTTCTTCCAAGAAATACAAATCTCCCAAGAAATGCAGATTTCTCCAAGAATTATAAATTTCTTGCCCAAAGAATTGCAGCTCTCTCTCTAGAAGTTCAGAATTTCCAATACCTGTAGCTTCCTTTTAGGAAACGCATATTTTGTAGACCATCTCCAGGACCTGATAGATTTCTCCTAAGAAGAGTGTAATGAGGTGGAGGAATGTGTGTTGTAGGGGACACAGCCACACCTACATGGGTAACTAAGCTTAATAAATGTGTCTGGACGTTCCACATATTTCACCTTGACAACAGTCATACCATGGTGTCAACATCACCTTCACATTATTATTTTCGATTTTACACTAGGACTCCATCGGTGTTTCCTTTGCTTTGTCGTCCTCTTTGACCAGAATGCGAGGTCCATACAGCAGAACATAGGCAGAGTGCCAGTCACCTGGAATCCAACAAAACGGTCACTAAACATGGATATTTGATAGCAGCATTTAAACAAACAAGTATTATAACTAACATTTAGTTTTTGCTTTTTGAATTAACCTTTGACCTTTGATTACAAAACGGTCACTAAACATGGATATTTGTTAGCAGCATTTAAACAAACAAGTATTATAACTAGGATTTAGTTTTTGCTTTTTAAATGAACCTTTGACCTTTGATTACAAAACGGTCACTAAACATGGATATTTGTTGGTAGAATTTAAACAAACAAGTATTATGACTAGGATTTAGTTTTTGCTACCTAAGTTAACCTTTGATCTTTGATTATGAGGTTAATGTCATTGTGACCTTATTATAGGCTCTTATCAGTTGAAAACAATATCGTTGAACAAGACCAGGTAAACCATTAGTTTACAAAATGACTTCTCTTATGAGAAAGGCAGATATAATAGTGATCATTAGTTGTTTTTTCTCCAAAATCAATCTTCCTCAGTATCTATTTTATCAGAATCCACTGACTGTCTTCAGTAGATTTCATTGTGACGTTACAATTATGACTGTATCAACAGATACCTATCAGTATCTCATTTTAGTTGAGTTAACTGAATAAATTAAGAAAAGTCAGACTAACAATATTAAACAATAGTGATATATAAAGTAGGTATTAAGTATGAATGATAAACCTTTCAGAACCCTCAGTTACATGTTACCAACTCCTGACAGCTCCCCCAACACATCCCTACATACCCTAAGCACACATTACAGTACTCACTACCTAGCAACAGCCCACAACTAATCTCTGGCACACCCTTCAGGAGCCTCAGTCACATGTTACAGTATTCATCACTTCCCTCCC